ACATGGGAATCCTCTCATTCCAAGAAGAAACAGAAGCAAGTCAGCACCGAAGTCCTCCATTTTGCTTATAATCAGGGCTATTTTTGTTTTTGGGAAGGAACGCACAGGAACGGAGTTCCGGCTGGCTCCCAAGTTGGCCACACCCAGCAGGAACTCATTAGCATAATAGGCCACACCCAACAGCAGGAACTCATTAGGATTCGCTACATTAGGGGTGTGTGGCCTAACATGCAAAGGAGTTCCTGCTACAAAAAAAGCCCAGGGTTTTGACAACAAAGTAAACAGAATAAGAAGCAAAAGGTGGGTGTGGCTGGATAACCATACTTCTGGTAACATGGGGGTGTGGCATAATGTGCTAATGAGCTGTGCTGTCAGGGGTGTGGCCCAATATGCTAATGAGTTCCTGCTATTGGGTGTGGCCTATTATGCTAATGAGTTCCTGCTGGGCTTTTTCTGCAAAAAGAGCCCTGAGATAATGTAACAGCTAAATCATGCATACACCACATGTTTAGCTATGAAAGGGAAAGTCTGTGGGGGGGGGCTTGCATGACAAAGGGGGGAAAGTTTGGTAAAAGAAGGCAGGGAGATGGCAGAAAAATGGAATGAAGGCTTTTCACGGAGGGATAATGTGGAGCAGTCACACTTGTCAGAGCTGCCGTTTTCAGGGAAAGTGTCAGAAGAGTGAAGTCAAAGCGATTTATTTATTTAATTCATTTGTACCCCGTCTTTCTCACCAGTGGGGACCCAAAGCTGCTTATAGCATTCTCCTCTCCTGTGTTTTATCTTCTGAACAACCCTGTGAGGTAGGTTAGACAGAGAGTATGTGACTGGCCCAAAGTCACCCAGCAAGGTTCCACAGCATGTGGGGATTCAAACCCAGGTCTCTTAGGTACTATTCTGATATTTTTAGCCACTGCACCATGCTGGCTGTGACAAGAGATGACATTCTGAGGCTAAGGAACACATTTAAAATCAACAAGTTACCAGGTCTGGATGACATATACCCAAGAGTTCTTAAGGAACTCATAATTCCAAAGTCATGGAATTCTTTCCCCAGGGAGATTTCTCTATTCCACTCAGTCATTGTCTTCCACCAATGGATGAAGACTTTTCTGTTTCATCTGGTATACCCTTACTGACCCTTCTTCTTGTTTATTTTTAATTGTCTTTTATTTATACGTACTGTTTTAAAAGTGTTGTTTCTACTCTCTTTTAATTGTTTACTACCTTAAGCCATGTTTGCAGCTTGAGAGTGCTATTTGAGACACTGATCACCTTAGAAAACTAGGTGGCTGCTATGGCTTGGAGAGTGTTTACCCAGCTCTGGCTGGTGCATCAGCTGCATCCGTTCTTGGTCAGTCAAATCTAGCCACATCTAGACTAGACTGCTGCAATGTGCTCTGCTTGTACCCTTGAACAGTGTTCAGAAACAGCAGCTAGTGTAGAATTGCTGTATGGGTATTGGGAGCATATGTTCCTGATACTACAACGATTACACTGGTTACAGATCTACTACCAAGCCCAATTCAAGGTGTTGGTTTTATCCTTTAAATCTCTATAACAGTGTTGGGCACAAACCACATTTTTGTGGTTCAGTTTACAGTTTGTGGCTGAACCACAAACCGAACCATGAACCAATAGGACAGTTCATTTTGGTTTGTATCGGTTCATGAGCCATTTAAAGTTTAACCCCCTGTGTTCTGTTGTTGTTGTTGTTGTTGTTCAGTCGCACAGTCAAGTCCGACTCTTCGCGACCCCATGGACAAGATCATGCCAGGCCCTCCTGTCTTCATGTTCGTTGCATCTATGACACTGTCTAACCATCTCATCCTTTGCCGTCCCCGTCTTCTTTGACCTTCAATCTTTCCCAGCATCAGGGTCTTCTCCAGTGAGTGCTCTCTTCTCATTTGGTGGCCAAAGTATTTGAGCTTCAGTTTCATTATCTGGCCTTCCAGGGAACAGTCAGGGTTGATTTCTTTTAGGATTGACTGATTTGATCTTCTTGCAGTCCAAGGGACTCTCAAGAGTCTTCTCCAGCACCATAGTTCAAAAGAATCTATTCTTCGGCGCTCGGCCTTCCTTATAGTCCAACTCTCGCAGCCATACATGACTACTGAAAGACTATTGAAAGAGGTAGTCAATCTTTAAAGGTACAATTGTGGTCTTAGGGTACTGTCTCAGTGATGATCTGGTTCTTATAGATCCACATGGGTCAATGCAGGGGTAATTCATGAGGACAACCAGATGGATTTCACCTAGAGAACTGGTGTTGAGTAGTGATGGGCATGAACTGGGAAAATGTGGTATGGTTCATGGTATGCCAGCTTCATGAACCATGAAACATCACAAATAAACCAGTTTCATTTGTGAGGTTTGTGACATGGTAGAACACCCCTCAGCATGTTCTACTCCCCACAAAAAGCAGTGGGGAGCAGAAAGCAGGGGGTTAAATGGCTCTGAGCCATTTCACCCCCAGCCTTCTGCTCACTGTGGCTTTTGGCAGTGAACAAAAAGTAGGGGGTGAAATGGCTACGAAGCATTTCATCCCCTGCTCTCTGCTGGATGTAACTTTTGTTCAGTATGGTGAGAACCGAAGTAGATTGTAAAAAGCTCCAAAAGGCTCTCTGCAGGCTGGGTGAGTGGGTGACAATGAAACAAATGTCATTCATTGTGAGAATTGTAAAGTATTGCACATTGGGGCAAAGACCCTAATATACACTGCTGGGGTCTAAACTGGAGGTCATTGATTAGGGAAAAGATCATGGCACCGGAGAGGATAACTTGATGAAAATGTCACCACAGTGCGTAATAATGGTGTATAAAATTATGCATAACATGAAGAAAGTTGTTAGAGAGATAGCGCGTTTTCTTTTTCTCACAGATGCTCAGAGAATTTGATGGACAGGTTATTCAGGACATTCTTTACTTAAAGAATGAAAGGTTTGTCGAATTTGTTGCCACAGGATGTGGTGACAGCTGCTAGTTTCATTGGTCCATCAGCTACTAGACATTGATGACTGAAGGGAACCTTTACATCCAGAGGCAGTAGACTCCAAAACCCCGTCTTTAGGAGAGATTTAGCCCTCTGTTTGTTGGCCTTCCAGGGCAACTGGTTGGCCAGTGTGTGAAACAAGACACTGGACTAGATGGACCACTGGTCTGACACAGCAGGGCTGTTTTTGCATTCTTATGGGACATTTCCAGGCATCTGTGATGCTCTGATATAAATTGGACAGGTTTAATATTTAAATATTTGTGTCTCTCCGCCACTTATATGATATGCACATGGAGATCCAGTGCTTCTTTTCCTTTTTTAAGAAAAGAACTCTCCCAAATCCTTCACAGTATCTGTTTTCTTTCTCCTCCTTCCTTTTCAGTGCTTACTTTCCCTGAGCTGCTTTTATGATATGCTCATGGAGATTTGGTGCTTCTTTTCCTAACAAATCAATGAACAAAAAAAAAGGAGCTAGAATTACAGGGCTCTTTTTGTAGAAAAAGCCCAGCAGGAACTCATTAGCATAATAGGCCACACCCAACAACAGGAACTCATTAGCACATTGGGCCACACCCGTGACAGCACAGCTCATTAGCACATTAGGCCACACCCCCATGTTACCAGAACTGTGGTTATCCAGCCACACCCACCTTTTGCTTCTTATTCTGTTTACCTTGTTTGTTGTCAAAACCCAGAGCTTTTTTGTAGCAGGAACTCCTTTGCATGTTAGGCCACACACCCCTAATGTAGCCAATCTTAATGAGTTTCTGCTGTTGGGTGTGGCCTATTATGCTAATGAGTTCCTGCTGGGCCTGGCCAACTTGGGAGCCAGCCAGAACTCCGTCCCTGTGTGTTCCTGCCCAAAAATAGCCCTGGATCTACAGGAACCCCAAAGAAGGGGCAGCAGATTATGATTAGTACAAGATTATCCTCAAAGTGGGATTATACTCAAAGTTGTAGGACAAGGCTGAACTAACCTGGAGGAAGATTCAGGAGGGCAGCCATGGAACTGTGTTTGCACACAAAAGCTCATACCTTGAATAAAACTTTGTTAGTCTTAAAGGTGCCACTGGACTCAAACTTCATTAACCTGGAGGAAGTTCAAGAAGAGGGCTAAGTTGATGACAGTAGCAGCTCTCCCATGGGTGGAAGCCCGTTCCTGGAATCAGTGTGCCATCCTAATTTCTCAATCAAGGATCTCATGTGCGAGCTATGTCTATTCTGAGTGGATTGCAAACTGCCCGTTGGAGTGCCGTAGAATGAGTGTGTAAGAGATTGATATGACGATATGATTTTGGTTGATAGACAAGGGGTCTGCTCAGTAGACTGTAGGGTTGTAGCTCAGTAGTACAGCACATGATTTGTGCTCAGAAGGTCCCCAATTCAATATCTGCCAAGTCTGGTTAAAGGGATCACAGATAGCAGGATTGGGAAAGTCCATGAAAAGCTACTGCTAGCCAGAGCAGCAAGAACCAGCATGGTGTTGTGGTTAGTGTGTCAGACCAGGATCTGGGGGATCCAAGTTTGAGTCCCCACTCTGCCATGGGAACACTCTGGGTGACTTTGGGCTACTCTCCCCGCTCTCCCTCTTTCCCTCCCGGCTCTCTCTCAGCTTACACTATTTTACAGGGTAGTTGTTCTGAGAATAAAATGGAGGAGGGGGGCAACGTTGCAAACTGCCTTGGTTCCCCATTGAGGAGCAAAGTGAGGTATAAACAAATGAGCACGGAGGCTTTTGCCACTATATTGACCAATAATCTGATTTCATAGAAGGTGGCTTTCTGTCTTCATGACACATTCCTGAAACTTTGACTCTTGGCAATTTTTTTATTTTATTTTATTTTTTGGTAAGCCAGCCTAATGCGAGACCATCCCTTAATGCACACATCAGGCAGCAATTAAAAGGCCAAGTTCCAATCTCTTATGACTGAAACGATCCTGGTTTTTCTCTTTGTCAGCCCGGAACGACTTTGGAGATTCTTAACCTCAAGAGGTGTGATGAGAAATGGCTTTGGGGAACAACACGCAGCGCAGTTACTCCATCATTCCATGCTTCATTTTTGTCGAGGTGAGTCCTACTTTTGGCCTTCCACTTTGGAGAAGCGGTACTAATTTCAGGGACCTAAATTAGACCAGAAGAGAAAACAAGGCAGAGAAACGAGCAGTGCTTAGGCTGCAATCCTCAGCAAGCTAACTTTAATGTAAATCCTGGTGAACGAGTCAGATTTCAATCTGTGTGTACGCTGAAGGAACCAGGCAGCAAGTCCGTACCGGTCATGCTAGAGTAGCATTGACTTAATTTGACAAGACTTCGAAAAGAGTTCTGAGTTTGTAAAAAGTGTTACATTTTTGTTTCTAGTGTTATAGTATTATTGTTTCTGTAAATTGCTTAAAAATAATCCTTGGCCACAATTTGAGTTTAAGTCTGAGTCTGTATGGTATAGAAGGAGGCTCTGCTGTCATATTTATCTGTCTTTGATGGTCTACAAGAGCGGTGGTCCTCAACCCATGGGCTGGGTGCTTCAGGTGGTTTGTGGTTCCCCAGTTGCTGCTGATCAGCTCCTACAGAGCTGCTAATATCGTTTTGCTGCCTTTTGGAAGGACCTGCTGTTAGTGCAGATGTATGCAAGCCGAAAGGAGCAGCATGGCAGCAGGATGAGGCCACACGGTAGCGGAGAGGATTTCTCCATGGCTCTAAACTTTTGGCTTCAGGGCCAGCATCAGCATACCCAAAGGTGGGGCAGGGCAGCTGCCAGGGCCCAAGGCTTCTGGTAGGGCTCATGGCCACAGGACCTCCACACACCCACACCCACTTTTCTCCCCTGCCATCCACCCCTGCACCCTTTCCTCCTCTGCTTGCAAAAACTCCCCCAGTGCCACCTGCGCTCCTAGCTGAACATATTGCCCAGTGCACCAGGGAAGGCATACAGGTGGTGCACAGTGGTAGCAGTGTTTCTAGCAGCCATGGAGTTGTAGTTCCCGTTGTAAGCATTGCCTTGTGCTGTCAGGGAAAGGTGGGAGGGCTTGCAAGTAGGGGGGGGTAGCGGGTCAAGGGGCAGGAAATGGGGGGGTCAGGAAGGGAAGTGCAAGCAGGGAGCCTGAAGTGGACAGAGGGGGGGGGCAGGAATTCTCTGTCCAGAGTCCCCCAAATCCTGGAACCAACCCTGTTTGGCTTGTTCCTCACTACAGTACACTTCATGTTGCTCTGCTTATGTTTCCCTGCTGTCTGGCTTTTTTGCCTGCTGTTTGCTCTTCTGGCCTTGACACCAGTGAGATCATAACTCTGGTTTCCTTTCTGTGTGTCCCATGTCTATGATGCCATGTGCTTGCAGTTCAGTGGGTCCCATGCTGTCACCTAGGGGCTAAATGTGGGTCCATGGGTCCTCTCGAACAGTGTACAAGAGGACATACATTAACTGAAGAACACACAACCATAAAAGCTGTCTTGCTGCAAAAGCAAACTACCTTTCTCTTCCCCTAATTGTTTACAACAGCCAAAGTTCAGTTTTTAACTCTTCCCCCACGGGACCCAGTGCAAAAACGCACATCATTCCTTCCATTGGCGGAGTAAGGGAAGAGATGTTTACCTTCCTCTGTTGTCAAGCTGGCTCAGTTCAAATGTTATACACCTGATCCTTCATTAAACGTGTTGTTCATAGTATTTGGAATTTTCCTAGTGTGACCCTAGCTTGGCAGTTTATATGTGTGCATAGCATAGACTCAAAGCACCCAAGAAGAAGTTGGGCCCCTTTAGACGTATTATGCAGCCACTGCTATCAATCTACCATAATCCAGACTAATGCAACGTGCCACAAGCACAAAACAATAACTAGAGACATGTGTAGAGCCAGTGACTCTGCAGTCTATTTAAGGGGGGTGGGGCCAGGACACTAGAAGCCCTCCAACGGAGGTCCTGCCTGCCGAGGAGAGAACACAACCTTTCCTTTGGGTTTCTGGAGGAACTTTTTCTCAAGGTCTGCTAAAGTATTAGAATTGAGTCAGCTGAACTGCAAAAGAAGTCTGGGCTGTTTTCCAAGTACAGATAAGTTTACTTCCTTATCTACATTGTTTAACTAACAAGTGAGAAGCTAATGTCGGCGTCTGGGAGCTTCTAAAGCTTGCTGCTTGCAACTGTAGCTGGATTATTCATGATTCTCAACACCGTCTATAACAACAGAATCTCTGGATGACAATTTTATTTTATTTCTTTATGACATTATTTATGACATTACTGAATAAAGAAGTTCTCCTTTAAAGTAGTAGTTGAGAACCGGGTGCAGCAACCAGGTGCAGCAAATAATTAGCACTGGAACGGTGAAACCGTAGCGCAGCAATCACTTGCACAGGCCTGCAAAGGTCCACAAAAGTTTTCATTTGGAAAGCAAATATTGGGATTAGGATTTGATATGGGAAAGAAACGCTCCTATCCCTTTGAGAAGGAATGTGACATCCCAGTGAGCAAACAAACAAGATTGGAGGACTATTTTGACCCTAATAGATTTGCCTGCCTTGCTCACCAGGAGGAGGACACCATCCTTTCTTTGGAACAGTCTCTGATTTTAAACAATAGCACTCATGATCACCAATCTCCATCTCCAGTATGCCAGCCTAGCAAACCTGAGGATTTGTCTTTATTAGCAACCCAAACAAACTTAATAGCCAAGTCGCTACAGCTAATTTACGAGAAGCTTGACAAGATAACAGCTTACTTTTTAAGGTCTGGAATGAATGACTCTCCCTTAAAGGAACTTTCTAATCAACAAAAGAACCTGAGAAGCCAAAGGGAATATGACTGTGTGAGAGTCCTAAACTCGAATTCAAATCCTAGAACTCCTGTACCTGCAGCCGATAAGAAGACTGAGAGTGCTTCTCTTATCTACGAACCAAAATGTGTGGTTGCCAACATTTTTCCCTATCAAGGGAGATATATTAACTGGTCCACTAGATGGTATGCTAGGAAACATCTAGCATTTTTCCTCAAAACTAGACCATCCTCTATTGATCTTATCAAGGTTGAACGAATCCCTGGTCCATTACGTTTTGAACGCTTTTTATTGATATTTCACTCTAGTAATATTCCTACCTGTCTGTTAGCACACTGTTCTGAATATGCTAGGTTTGGGATTAATTTTCAAAGATATTTTAAGGATCACTCTGTTCATCAATTAGTTGTTCCGACTTTATGTCCACTGAAAATGAATTTAGATAATGCTAAGATTAAACAGAAGGAGATCAGCAGAACAAAAATGCAAGATTCACTAGACCCATCAATGCTTATTGATCTCTCTTCTCCTATAAAATTGCCCCCTGAAGTGAGAATTCAAAACTCACATCCTTTAATGCTAAATCCAAGTGTTGAACCCATGGAAGTGATAAATACAATACCGATTGAAATAAATGATGATGTGGAACAAAGGCTTTTGGCCTCTTTTGGAGCTTTACCCCCAGATGACCAAGATAATCTATTAAGTCAGCTTCAAACTCTGTTGGCTTCCCTCAGAGAAATTAAATTAAGCTCCAAACATTCAATGGAACCTTCCCACGGTGGTGATGTTCCTTCTGTAAAAAATGATGAGGTTCTGGTAATCCCAAATGTTCCACCACGAAATTCTAATGTTATTCTTCCTAAAATAGATGATGTGATCTCGATAATCTCAGATGCTCCACCTTGTGATATTAATATCGCTTCCTCTGAAATAAATGAGGTGAGTTTGGATAACTCAAATCTCCTGCCACAAACCAATAAGCATATTCCCTTAGAGCCAGTAATTATAGTGAATGGAGGTGCGGAGAAGAAATCTGAAGCTCTATACTCAAAGAAACTCCCGCTTGAGGCTACCCCGAATTGACAACCATCAAATGCTCATATTAAAATATTATCATGGAATATCACAGGATGGAGCTGTAGAATGAAAGATCCTGCTGTTAAAACCTATATATCAAATTTTCATATCATTATGGTTCAGGAAACTTGGGTCAAAGAGAGCATTTGTCTACCTGGTTTTGTTGTTTTTGAAGTGAATGCTCAACCTAGCCTACATAAAGGTCGCCCAAAGGCCGGGTTAACCTGTTTAATTTCCTCAACGCTTAACTGTCTTAGCGTATCTCAGATAGCTGCTAATCAGTATATATTGGCATCATGGTTGCAATTTTCAACTTATTCTTTGATAATCATTACAATTTACTTTCCCCCTTTATCTGTTCAGAGAGAAATTGAATCTCTCTGGAAGAATCTGAGAGAACTCCTTGATATGATCATGCAACAATATCCTAGTGCTTCAATATTGCTTGCGGGAGATTTTAATGCTCGAATGGGCCAAAATGATGATGCCCTGATAGCAACTGAGGAAGAAAGATCTCTGGTTGACTTTTCCTATCCTTATTTATATCAAAGGAGATCGAGGGACTGTAAGGTTAATTGGGCAGGTAAACAGCTCTTCAGCCTCATGATGTGCTATGGTCTTGTGGTTTTAAATGGACTTAAGAATCTAGACCCCATAGGCGATTTTACCTGTGTAACACACAAGGGCGTTAGTGTAATTGATTATATATTGGTATCAACAAACTTGCTGCCTAGAATTTGCAACTTCAAGGTGGCCGATTATATGGGAGGCGATCATTTGCCCCTTCAGCTAACTATTTCAATCACTCCTGATTGTCTGTTACCACCTAGGCTTGCATTTGACCTGCAACAAGGAGGAAACTCTTTGAGACCAATAAGATGGTCTCCAAATTTGATTCCTACTGCAATGAACATTATGCACTCTAATAATTCTAAACTTCTAACTGAGGAACTCCTGAAACACGATCATATTTCAAGGAAGATAGAAATATTAACCAATATTTTAGATCTTTTTATGCCAATTTGTTCTAAATTAGCTACTGTTAATAGGGCTGACAGGAAAAATACCTGGTTTGATAAAGAGTGCAGAGATCATATGAGAAGAATTAGGTCTAAACACCGTGTATTTAAACGTACAAACTCCCAGGCTCATCTAATGGATCTTATATCATTAAAAAGAGAATTTAAGTCCCTAGTAAAATATAAAAAATGGTCAGCCACATGCC